CACTGGTGAATTTAAAAACAGCGGTTGCTAACAAGTGTTAAAATGTGACGACTAAACGTCATCACGCCCAACATTAGCCGCCTTTAGCTTAGCGGTGGAGACGTGAAGTCATGTGACCGTTTATAGCCCAACATTAGCTTTTAATAAAGATATTAAATAAATGTAGTGGAGTAAAAGTACAAAATGTACTTCTGAATTCCAGTGAGGTAGAAGTAAAGTCCCTCAAAAATGTTCCTTAAGTACAGTACTTGAGTAAATGTACTTTGTTACTTTACACGACTGCAAAAATACAAAATCCCTGCACAACTATACAGGAATAAGAATGTAGGATGTAGAAATGGACCAATCAGAATCCAGTATTCATTTAGCACTTGTTAGAAACATCTCCCTGGTCCCCGGCTTGATCTTCAATCTCAGGATCCATGTATTTCTGATCCTCTCCAGAATGGAAGTAGTCATCACATACAGAGCATCAACTAGTTCCTGAACAGTGTCCTTCACATGCTGATATCCAAGAGAGGGAGTTACACAGTCACAAGATGGAGGAATAGAAAGCAGTATTCAATGTTTACTTCAGATTAGCTCCACGTCAGAAATGAGCATGCTTGTCATATGTCTATCTCCATAGAGGCTGAATCATCATGTTAATCACATAGCTATCATATGCCTCAAACAGTCCTGATGCTCTTCTAGGTCATCATACATCCTGTCATGTACACAGCTACAGTTGGGATACCTTTGTTAGCATGTTACTCTCAGATTGGAAGAGGACATTCAGTATTTTACCAACAGCACTGTAATAAGGTAAACCCAGTACCCAGTGACTCTACATGTCTCTCTCTCTCTCTCTGTATTTGCAGCATGCTCTGCGGCTGCTCGCTTTCCGTCAGATCCACAAAGTTATGGGCATGGAGTCTCTGCCGGCGTCGAAGGCCAGCGCTCGAAACCGCAAACGTCGACGTGACGGCAGCGAGGCGACGGAGGGAGAGGGCGAGGGGAAGAAGGACAAGAAGGAAGAGTCTGAGAGCGCTTGACCTCGAGTCCTAGTTTAGAGACTGGTAGAATATCACGACTTGTTAACACGCAGCTATACACATATGAATATAACTGACAGTGACTGAGAAATCTGTAGAGAAATCCTTCTGTGTTATGGTGTGCAGAGATAAATCACAAACTGATTATTGCATCATTCCATTTCAGTATAACTGCACACACTAATTACTGTTCATTTACAAAACTTTAAGCAAATGTTATATTGATATATGTGACGCTAAACCATCAGCACCTTCAGAAACCTGATATCTGGTGCATGACATTTTGTCCGCTGTTAATCAAAAATAATATTTAGAAGCTTTGACACACTCACTACCAGAGCTCCTAATTTTATTGCAAATATTGTGACATTTAAAGTCCGTGCATCACAAAAACAAAGCTAACACTAATTTAACTTCCCCACGTCATTGAGTTTTTTTTTTGTTGCGCGGAAGACAGGCGGTCACACTGGAGGAGAGGATGTTGCACAGTCTGTAGCATGCTGAGGGAATGAAGCACTTAAAGAAATGACAATGCAGCCTGAGGTTTATCATTTGAATAATATGCCTAGTAATCTTTTTTCTTCCAGAGGAGAGAGGAGCTTTAGCCCCACTGAATATCTACTGTAACGATCAAGTAGTCCTGACCTTCTTCCTTGTGCCTGCGTCTTGTAGTGTGTCACACAGTGAGGGGTAAAAAAAACACGTATGACTTGTGTTTTTGTGTTGGATTGTTATTGTAATGATATGATTTCACAGAGATGTAGGACAGGGAAGCGACAGTTGCACAACTCTTTGGCTTAAAAGTTAAGAGAAAACCGTTTTATCGTGCCGTTTTTAGTTTGATTTTCATTTATCGAGAGTATCATATATATACGCTTATTTTATTTCTGAAGGATGTCGCTATCCGTTTTGTATCGTTTAAAGGAAAGTGTGAACGTTTGCCGTCTTTATCATTTGAATGTCTTTGTAGTATTGCCTCAAGAATCATGGAGAGATATTAAAAACACTTTTAAGCCATTTTGTGTCCGTGGTTGATTTTCAGTGTACATTTTAACACTTTCCACATTCAACACTTATTTGTATTGACAAAAGGGTTATAAAAAAGCATTCAGGTGAGCGTCAGCAGAACATAACAGATTTAAAGAAGCCATATTCTTATTCTTAGCTATAGAGACACTTCAGGGTGATAGCAGTCCACCCCAAATACTCACTCGGAGATATCAGGTCATTCTGATGAACAGTTTCAAATAAAAGACCGTTGAAATCTCATATATGAGCCATCGTCCCTATGTAAATCTGAATATTAAGACATCTGATGTACATTTTCAAAATAAAAGATAATTGAATATCAGGTCATTCCAATGAACAGTTTCAAAATAAAGAAGTCTCATATGAGCTATCGTCCCTCTATTTTTAGATAAGAATAAATAAAAAACTATCCATAATCAAAGACTCATTTCACCTCAGGGTGATAGCAGCACCCCAAATATTCACTCGGAGAATATCAGGTAATTCTGATGGAGAGTTTCAAAATAAAAGACCTTTAAAGGTCTCATATGAGCTATCGTCCCTCCTATGAGTGAACAGTTTCAAAATAAAAGACCGTTGAAATCTCATGAGCCATCGTCCCTCTATGTACATCAGAATATTAGGACATTCTGATGTGGAGGTTTCAAAAATAAAAGACCGTTGAAATCTCATATGAGCTATCGTCCCTCTATGAATGAACAGTTTCAAAATAAAAGACCTTTAAAGTCTCATGAGCTATCGTCTCTCCTATGAGTGAACAGTTTCAAAATAAAAGACCGTTGAAATCTCATATATGAGCTACAGTCCCTCTAATCCCTCACACACAGTCTCTCTTTTATTTTCTGTCTCCATGTATATTTTGTTATTTATTTGTCTTTACTTGGTAAATTCACAGTACGGTCTTCTGTGTATCTGTGACACTGTACTTGTACCTCCTATATCACTAAATAAAAATGTATTGACAGCTATCATACTGGAATAAGAAACTGTAAATGTATTAAATCATTTATGGCATTAATAATTAATTTCTAATTCTTAACTGTGAATGGTTTTCATTTATTTGACATTAGGGAGGGATGGTTGCTTCATTTTGTGTTCTGCGCATGCGCCTGTCAGGACTTCCTGCGATTTGTTTATTTGTTTACAAACTTGCGATTTTGTTTTAATGTAATTCCAGTTTATTATTAATGCATACTTCTGTGTCGTGGCACATGTTTCTCCTTCCTCCTTTCTTTTTTAATAAAGTAATTAGAGTAAAAAATAAGCGAAGGAGGTGATTACATCATTTCCGGTACTCGATGGAACGTCACTTCCGGTAACATTCGCTCAACAAATACGGAATGCATTTATTTTTTGATTCATGAAAATATATAAACACAAACGGTTTAGGAAGACAGGTACACAGAGTAAACAATTACCATGTCTTAAAGCTCGTCACGTTTTTTAAGTACAATATTCAGACTCTAGTGTCTTTTATTCCAGGATAAGATATACTTTATTGATCCTAAATTGGGAAATGTTTGTTGCAGCAGCACGTTAACAGGTAGTGCACATCATTGGAAATAAAAAAAAGTAGAATAAGCAATATAGAAATCTCAAGATAGAGTAGATATTAAATATGTTTATATAACACCTCTGAGGTCTGTGTTGGAGCTATATATTGGTTTATGTTATTTTATAACTATCATCTAGCCGTTTTTGTTCTTGAATTATTTTAGTTGAGGTAAATATTGCATGTTTTTTGAAGTGCACAGAATATTTTGGGTACTTTTCACAATATAAAGCCCTTTAGAGAATTGAGAAAACACAGGTAAGCTAACACGTTCCTAACCAGTCATTTATTAAATTCACAAAATGCTGAGAGGAGACTGTCTGTAATGCATTTATTATTTAAAGTGGACCTATCATGCTATATTTGAATAATATAGTGTAGGACCATACCTATATAAGGCATATTTATACCTTTCTTTTTCAAAATACCAAAACAGATCATGCATTTTAGCCATGCCTCATTTTGACATTTTTTAGCTCTGTTTTTGTAAGGGAAGATAAGGGCAGAACAGCACCACCTACAGGCCTGGCATATGTACTACAGCGTCTCCAGCGCTTTCGAACGGCAATGGCCGTGGCTGTCTCCTCCTGATTGGTGGAGTTGGCCCAATAGCCGTAGCGCCACCGTCCTGACGTCAGGACAGTGTTCAAATCTGAATCAGTTTTTATCAGATCCGTTGCAGCCCCTTTTTTTAGAGATTTGGAATTTGGGTATGGAGGAAAATAGAGAGGGTTGTGTTTTCTGACACTTGGTGAGTTCCCTGGAACACCATATTCATGTACAAAAGTGCATTTTGCATGATAGGTCCCCTTTAAAAGAGAGTCAGAATGCCTCAGTCCCAGAGGGGAATATAGTTACAGCAAAGAGACACTGAAACTTAGTCAAGTGGACACGGTAAAAAGTAATTACAGTCCAGGTATAAAAAAGGTAGCAACATTATGAAAGTATAAAGTAGCTGCAGGATGATGTAATTGGAAGTATACCTCGTTAACCAATCAGAGCACATACTGCATGTTTGGCACAGAGTCTCTACACATGTTAAGACAACCAGGCACAGGATTCAGTTCACTCTTTATTTCACACACAAACACAGCCTTGATGTCTCTGAAGCTCAGCACCTGAGAAGAGAGGAGTTAGAAGCAGCCTTCCTCCAGAGCACAGATCAGAGAGTCTGCTCTGCATCAGAAAACAGTTCTCTTTCACTCGGACTCAGAGAGATTCCCAATGTTTCAACAGATCATCAGCTACAGCTTTCAGAGACGTGCAGGTATCAGAGAGAGCTTCACCTGATGAGGCTGATCCCAGAGCAGATCTGGTCCTGAAGGGGAGGGGCTTCACCTGATGTGAGGCTGATCCCAGAGCAGATCCTGGTCCTGAAGGGGAGGGGCTTCACCTGATGTGAGGTGACCCCAGAGCAGATCCTGGTCCTGAAGGGGAGGGGCTTCACCTGATGTGAGGCTGATCCCAGAGCAGATCCTGGTCCTGAAGGGGAGGGGCTTCACCTGATGTGAGGCTGATCCCAGAGCAGATCCTGGTCCTGAAGGGGAGGGGCTTCACCTGATGAGGCTGATCCAGAGCAGATCCTGGTCCTGAAGGGGCGGGGCTTCACCTGATGAGGCTGATCCCAGAGCAGATCCTGGTCCTGAAGGGGCGGGGCTTCACCTGATGAGGCTGATCCCAGAGCAGATCCTGAAGGGGCTTCTTTGGACAGAAACACAAACTCTCATTAGAACCAAAGGTAGAAACTCAGCAGAGACGTTGGGAGCGCACACAGCCTCAGAACATAATGGGAACGGTAGGGGTATAATCATGAGATCATTTGGCAGAATCTTTTCATCACAGGTAGTGTTCATAGAAACTCTGATCACTCCTGATGAGACGCACCTTAGCTTCAAGTCCTCTAACGTCCCATGTTCAGTCTGACAGAGGAGGGTCTTTCCTGGAGGAGAAGGGACAGAAAGTCTTATTTAAAAACTACATTTATATGAGAGCACAGTGACAGAAAAGTAGCAACAACTAAATGTTCAGAGAGCACACAGCCTCAGAAAATAATGGAACGGTAGGGGTATAATCATTAGAGATCATTTGGCAGAATCTTTTCATCACAGGTAGTGTTTCATTAACGCCACACTCTTGATGAGACCCACCTTCATGTCCTCAAGTGTCCCATGTTCAGTCTGACAGGCTCTTTCCTGGAGGACAAAGACATCACATCTTATTAAGAGTCAGCGACAGGTTAATTGTGTTACCCTATGAAAATTCAATAAATATATTAATTCAAATTGATTCTCTCCTCTGGGTTCTCAGTAACAGATTGTTCCACATTTTAGTTCAGGTCAGACATTTGTAAACATCACTGAACCCTCAGTCTTTGTAAAGTCTCAGGAGAGGATCAGATTCTCACCTGAAGTCCATCTGATCAGCTGATCAATCCTCACAGCTGATTGGATCTGAAAACACAGAAAAGTTTGTATAAATTAACCCAGAATAAAAAGACCGGTTTGTTTCCCTGAAGCTAACTCAGATCAGATTAAAATGCTAATTTTCCTCAACAGGATCAGAGACCTGATTCATATTCATCACATCCGAGTTATGTTAGCGGCTAAATGCTAATCTGTGATGCTCACCAGGAACACAGGAGGACTGAAGGTGGAGATTCCTGGACAGCAGGGAGGTCTTCATGTCCTGAATTTAACAGAAAGGGGGTCTCATTATCACAGAGAGAAGAAACACCTGAGGCTCAGCAGAACTACAGGTGATACATCAGCTAGGAGCGAAAGACAAGTGCTCTTGTTCGTCATGGTTTCATCTGCTGAACTATGCTCTCATCACTGTATCAGACGTTAGACATTAAAGCTTTATTTCAGTCTTCAACTCACCTTAGTTTGACCTTTGGTCCTCCCAGTACTTCATGCATCATCACGACTTCCTGCTCCTGAGAAATGAGACTTTTATTAGAAGAAGATCTAGGATGAAGAGTCCTTGAGCAGAGAGGCCGACACTCAGCTAGGAGGCGAAAGACAAATGCTCTTGTTCTTCATGGTTTCATCTGCTGAACTATGCTCTCATCACGGTGTCGGAGCGCTTTCATTAATGCTACTTCAAGCAGAATATTTAACTCACCTGTCACTGAGTCCAGGGTCATGAGGAGAGGAGGATCAGAGGGAGCAGCTGCAAGAGAGAGGACGCACTTTAGAAACAGGCATGTTTTAATAAAGAGGCGTCTGTTCGTCTGCACGCATCAGATACAAGTTCTCTTTCACTCTGACTCAGAGAGATTCCCAATGTTTTGTTACAAGATCATCATTTACAGATTCATTTAAAGGATGCTAGAGACATGATCGATGCATCACCTGATCTGGAGGTCACCTGGAGGTCAGAGGTCATCTCCTGCAGGAACACAGAGTAAAATGAGCTCCATCTCTAATATTCAGAGTGTTTTATTCAGGCTGTGTGAGCCTCAGATAAATCAACTGGTGGGTTGGAGGTATCGTCATCCAGGTAGTCGAGAGTAGCAAATGCTGTCATCACAGACGAGAGAGAAAGACTTTAAGAAACTCTGAGGCTCACCTCGTTTCAGCTTCACATCTTTCGTGTAACGTCAGAGGTCCAACTCTGTGTCGTGTAGCCATGCCCGCATCTCTGGTCCTAAGTCGAAGAGGCTGGTCTATATAAAGGGCCGGTGGAGATGATGTGTTCTGCAGTCTGTTCAGCTTCACATGTGGCTTCATGTCTCTGAGACCTGTGGACACAAACCCTCGTTAGCTCCACAACATGGAGACATAGACAATATATAGCTTTAAATGGAAGTGTCAGCGTATGGTTTCTCAGATATCACATCTGTCCACTACTCTTATACTAAATCATCACAAACTTCCAGTTCAAATCTGTAGTTTCTTCATTGAGCAGATTAGAGTAACTCACAGCAGAGGATCTGAGGAGGTTCCCAGCTCAGACTTCTTCTTCCACCTGAACAACATCAAGAACTCTGATTAAAAACACATCTGGAAAAACTGCTTCACTTTTGTAAACAGTGAAATAGCACATTGCTAACATTAGCATGCTATCAGTTAAACTTCAGCCATTAAGTTTCAGAAATCACTTCTGTCCACTACTCTTATATAATGAAACATCACCAGTTTAACAATCAGAGCAGAGGTGGAAGTACTCAGATCTAGTACTCGAGTAAAAGTAGAAGTACTCAGATCTTGAATAAAAGTACTTAGATCTTGGTAACTTTACACCTCAGATCAAAATGAAGCCATTTCTGTTTCCTCACCATTTAATGTCCAGATCCATTCTGCAGAGATCCTGTCCTGAGGCCTGCAACCAGAAGAGGGAGATATTCAAAATCATGCATTTAGTTATAACATGCAACACATCTAAATAGGCAACTCCTACACATGCAGCAGCTAGCTCTAAAACAGAATAGTTTAACTTGTTCCCGTGCAGTCAGAGAGGTTGGCATTCTACACAAATATTCAGTTGTCCCTACCAACATTTTAAATCATCATATATCACGGGAAAGCTGCATTGAGGAGACTTTAAGAGGATAAATACATTTGCTATGAGCTAATCAACAACATTAGCTCATATGCTAATTAGCATCGAACACGTGGGAGACAGAGGCCTGCCTAAAAAAACAAATCAATATATTTCTTAATTATAACGAGTATTAAGGAAAAGAGCAGTGTTTCTCACCTCCTGTTGGCTCCTCTCTGGTTCTCTCTCAGATATTATTGTGTTGCTTTCAGGAGCATTTACCGCCACCTTCTGAAATAGAGTGGATCAGCTCGGTGTTAATCTAAATTCTTAATATAATTCCTGTCCTTTTTAAAAAGCCTAAACACTGCCCTGTATGCTACATCCCCTGAACTCCTTCTCAACATCTCTACTATATTTAATTATGTTCGATTTCTGTGCAGTGCTTCCTTTAGTAACAAACCTTCTTCATGGTATTTGAGACATTGCAAATAAATGTGCTCCACTGTTTCAAAATGACCACAATACTCACATTTACCTGTTGCATGTTTTTTCATAATGAATAGTGTGTTATTTAATATTTAGCCCTGTGTGACCAAATCTCCTTCTTGAAATGTCGTCCTCTTTTCTTTACTTCTGTTGACTTCTCTCGTTTCTCCAACTTTCTTCTGAACATTATAAAGATGTCTGCCCTGAACTCCTCCGTCCCATTCGTCCTGCCATTTCTGTTTAAACTGGGATTTGATGGTTCTTTGATTTCCTCCTCTCCTTCAGGGGTTCTTGTCTCCAGGTGAAGTGGTCTCACCTGAGGACTCATTAAGCAGGTGGTCCCATTGAGATCATCAATCTCTTTTTCAAGGGAGACCTGCAGCAAGTAGGTTACAACATGAAACTGAAACAACAGATAACACAAAAGGACATCGTATTTACAGGGCTACATGTAACATACATAGTGACATTGACGAGTACCAACAGTATCAAGTATCATTGCACCAATCCGAGCTTTAAAAAACATGCAGTGGATCCAATTTGCTCAGTTTCAAATCGTTACGCAGACTGTTCCAAGTTAGAGGAGCTGCACACATAAAAGCTTTCGTACTAAGTCAGTCCTTGCACTTGGCACATTTAACAAAACCACATCATGTGATCTCAGGCAATAGCTACCTGCAACTCTCTGTGTGATCAGAGAGCAGATGCACGATGGGAGTTTACCCAACACTTTGCATATTTGACTGCTAGTTCATTTCCTTCAGGGTTCTTGTTCTCCAGGTGAAGTGGTCTCACCTGAGGATGTGGACCAGGTAGAGGGAGGTGGACTAAACTTTAAAGGACTCCTTCAGACCAGCTGATCAATCATAGCCTCGATCAGCTGATGGTCAGGAGGGCGGGGTCTCTAACCCTCACCTGGAGAGAGCAATCAATTAACACCAATTAACCACCTGGTAGATTCAGTTTCCTTCACCAATGTTCTATCGTTGTGACGGTAAATGCACCTTATAGCTGTTTGCCAACCGCCATTAAACCAAAAGAACAAGAAGAAGAATGTGCTATCGTTTTTACACTTAACAATTAAGTAATTAAATAATAAACTCATCATTTTTGCCCCTTTATATTTTATCAGGCAACATAAATGCATTTTGCCAAATCGTGCATCCTCAACAGAAAACGATTAACAGCCATGTTAATTAATTTATAACGTGTTAAAATAAAAATCATGCTTTTAGGGGAAAAGAGCCTCTAAATATATGTATTATTTACACTTATCACACAATCTTTCACCTTTAGTTTCTCGCCTTAGTTTTATTTATTTTTAAAGAGCTGGGCGATATTATCTATGATGGGAAATAAGATTAGATATCGTCTATATATGGGTCATTCCAGAATTGGAGGACAATTTAGAAACACCAACATTTTTGAAAAATGAACCTTTCATTTATTTTTTTTGTTATGTATTTAGGAAAAACAGATAATAAACCATCAAAAAAAGTGATTGCCAGCTAAGGCAATCAAATGTATATTTTCCAATGAAGAATTACCCTCTTACTCTAATTATAGTAACAGGGTTGAAAGCAATGCTAATTTAGCTTTTACCTCAGGAATTAATGCTAGCTGCACAATGTAATGCTATTGTCAAGGAATGGAACACTTAGATATTTAACTAAAGAAAGATACATTGAAATTAATTTGTTTAGTCTCATAATTTGAGTAACAGGGTTGGTTGTATGAGTGCCACACTCCTTCAAGAGTGACAAGATTGGAAATATATTACAAATAAAAGAGAGGACTTAGTTTTGGTCTACCCATGGTAGTAGCACATGGCCTTGCTGATGTCCTTTCCACTGTGTCATGCGACCAAACAGTTTTTTTCACTTCCTCTGCCAAGCTAAAAAGGTTTCGGTAACAGGGTTGCGACACACCTTCTGTGCAAAATTACTGTTATTTAAAATGTGTTTATGATTTAACAAATTGATTTTACCATTACAAGACACATATATCAATAGAATAATACAAAAAAAGTAAATAAAAACCCTATTTTAAATGTTATATTTGACATGCAAGTTGGTCACCAAGAAGCTGGGACAAGAGAAAAGGGCAATTTTAGGGGGTGTTCGAGAGCTATTTGATATTTTAAATAATATTTTGAAACCACTTTTTCTACAACTTTATATGCATCTTGTCTCAAGACAAGTATATTTAACACAAACAAGTGCATGTCTTAGCTTTTTGGGCATGGATTATTAGATTTTTATATGGGGGACATGAAATGGCCTCCAATTCTGGAATGACCCTTATACAGTCTATGGTCAAACCGACTGTTAACACCCGCCCCACCAGCTACCCCGTGCTACTAAACGCGCTAACTTGATAGGCTTGATACGCCCAGGTGACGTCACCCTGGAAGCAGAGCAGTTGGTTTTCCAGCCTGGGATTTATGGAGTAAATCTACCAAGTTGTCCCACTATCAAGAGCTTTTTACCCCAAAATAACAGCTGGTGGTAGCTTTTTAGTTAGTTTATTTGTTTATAACTTTAAATATAGTAGCCAGCGCAATGTCGAATTTCATCCCGGGACAGCGTTGGTGGCAGTTGTGGTAAGTTTGGGGAGTACCGTAAAGTGTTCATTCAACGGCCTCTTTTTGTTCTGCTTCTTGTCCACTATGTGAATCGTGGTCAGTCTAAAACTCAGCATTTAATTTAGTTAACTAGTCATAATGAGCTCACTAATGTTAACTAGCTTTATTACCTTTTATTTGTTTGTTTAGCAGAGGTGCTACCAAAACAAAGCTAGGCCGGTGGGCAAACAAACCGCCCCTAGAGTTCGAGTGCACTTGTATTCTGAGGCTTTACGGTAAATATTTGTTAGCTTTATTCTGTCATTTTATTACTTTTTACGGGAATTATTCTGACTTTAACGCTAAATACACGTGAGTTTATACTATCTACGTTCTTTTTAATATTTTTAACTCTACTGTAAATGGCATTGAGTTCATCTGTCAATTTGCTTACTTTTTAAGGCAATATTCTACGCTTTACGGTAATCTTTTACATTGTTAACGTCAGCTCTATTCTGTGATTTTTCTTACGTGTTTGTGATCTGAAAGTTTAACTGAAAGGCAGGCTTATAGAGTTATTAATGTTAGCACACCATATACAATGTAATTGATCAAATTATCAGACTTTCCTCAACCTTTTCTCTGGGCGGTCACCTAGTGTGCTTCAGCCTTCCTGGTTCACTTTAATGCAAAAGATAAAGGAATACAGGGTGGTGCCTTCAAATGTTGCAGAATTTTCACAACTGATTATGAAAAAGCCCACAGAGGTTGCTAGGTGACTGTGTTGCAGGGTCACGTGAGGGGTGGGGTTCAGGGTAAAGAAGGGTGTAGGTAGGAGGTTAACTGTATTGTGTGTCCTAAAGGTATGTGGTATCCACCATCAGTAAAGACATGGTGTTTGTAAATCATTGGGTGTCTTACTTGATAATATATAGTCATTTCCTTGGATAAAAACATTGTAGCAGCAGAAAATCTTACATTTTGTAAAATTGTAATGTCAATAAGAGATGTTTAATTAAAGCCTAATGCTGTATTGTTCAGGTACAGATACCAAATATGACATTCAAGAGCTAGGCTGTATCAGCGTATTTATTATGATCAGGACAGCTGGGACCACGATATGCACTTAATGCCACACTTCCAAGTTAAAGCATTAACCTGAGAGCTTCTAATAAAAAGATGCCAAATATTTTTATAGTACAGTGTCTTGGTTCTCGTTTCCTGACGTGTGGCATGTGGCGCAGTGGATTAGTGGATTAGTGCGTTTGAGTTCGTATCAGGGAAGCACAGGTTCAAACCCCACTGCAGTCAGCATGTCGTTGTGTCCCTGAGACACTTCACCCCAAACTGCTCCTGTGGGGATTGCCACAGTATTGAGTATGTAAGTCGCTTTGGATAAAGCGTCTAACAAGTGACATGTCATGTAATGTGTACTCAAACACTGATATATCAATGTATCGCCAAGACCAATTAATAAGTCTAATATAAAGGTTCCCTATGATTACTACTAGGATGACATTAAATTCCCTCTCAGTCCACATATAGTGAAACGTCATATTTATAGTTTCAAGTGATAGAACGTTTGCCAGTCAGGCTTTTAAACAGCTTTTAACTGGGTGACATAAGTGTGCAGACTGATGACTCGGTGTTAACAACAATCCAGACTTCCTCAGACTTCATTGGATCAGCGACAGCACTCGGTGAACGTCTGCTTATTCATCAGCGTGCACACACACACACACACACACACACACACACACACACACACACACACACACACACACACACACACACACACCACACACACACACACGGCTGCCTTTGTGTGCAGGAGTCTTGTGAGGAGTGTCACACTCATCCCTCCTCTGCTCTGAGAGCTGCAGCTGCTCGCCGAGGGCTAATAAAGTCTGTGTCTCTGAGGACTTCAGTCGGTGGAAACAGCCTCTGAAACCAGACAGTTGTCAAGTGTTGAAATGTGTCTGTGGAGGGTGAATCAGAGCCTCAGTGGATGGTAGCAGGGCTGGGGTTTGATCCGCTTCTTTTGCCTTTTTTAAGGTCTTTTATTCATTGCCGATTCGTATAAAAACACTCACAATAAGTCCATTGTGCTGAGTTTCCATTGTTGGTGATATTGTGAATAGCTCCACATGAGTTGCTTTAAAAAGCTGTCTGACTATCATGGTAGAGAAGTAGAAAATGTAAGAATTAACATATTCTAACCAACACAATGTTTTCTTTCTAAAAACACTTTATAATGCAGCATATTTAAATATTTAGCAGGAGAATACTTCGGACAGGAAAATCGTGACATGACGTTTTCTAATGTCCCATCCCTAGTGTGCATGTGTTAAATTAACAAACAGATAAACAAGATTTCCTTGAAAATATTGTTTATTTTTTGTGCTTTTTATTTCAGTTTTGGGGAGTTTTTATAAACTACTAAAAGTATTTTGTGTGTCAGGGTTTATAAATGTAACGGGTAAAGCCTTATAACGATGATTTGTTTCCTGTGGAACAGCAACGGATTGAGATCAAGAAGCTGCGGCAGGGAGATAATCTGATCCTGGGCTTCAGCATCGGAGGAGGGATCGACCAGGACCCCGGACAGAACCCCTTCTCTGACGACAAGGCTGACAAAGTAAGAGTGTGTGTGTCGTGGCGGTTTACTCCGTTTCTACATTTAATATCCACTTTTAGGGCTGCACGATTTGGGGAAATAATCTAATTGCGATTTTTCTGACAGATATTGCGATTGGATTTGCGATATTTGTTTTTAAGCGACCCAACGGAAGTTTATTGTAAAATGCGCCCATATCTCCGGCTAGGAAGGTCGTATCAACGTGCTCCCGTCTCTAGCACCCCCGCAGCCCGAGCTACGAGTGAAAGAACTAAACTTACATGAAACTTCCGTTGGGTTGCTTTAAAGTCAAGCTTCAGTTTAAGATTCACCCTGTAATAGAAACATGTGATGGAGCATTACTAACCTGACTCAGGCTGCGTTTCACTTCTCTTATTTTTCATTTCCTCGCTCCTCGGTCTCGGTCTCACCGGAAGTTGATTTGTCTGCGCCATCTTGAGTAGCGTCCCAATGGCCTTATTTTTGTCGGAGGATCGAGGAGCGATAATGGAGGAGCTATAATCGAGGAACCACCAGACCATCCTTCGATGAAATCCTCAGATACTCGCCCCGCCCCCTTACTGTGTATCGCTCACTGATTGGACGATGCAGCGCATGCACTGATCTGATGCTTCTTGACATGAGAGCAGTTTCCCAGCGGAGTGAAGAAAACACATGAAACTCACGGGACTCACTCCTCAGTTTATACTGTGTTTTGTTTCAATGAATGCATCATTCAGTTACAAATATGTGATATATCTGAACAACTAAGTGGTCAAAAATTATTTTATTCATTTTTTGGAAACATTTTCATGATCGCTTTTTCGTTTTACATTTTCATTTATTGTCATTTCCATTCAGTCAGTCATTAAGTGCTATTTAACATGTTAATTTGCTACATATGCACACAAACAAACTAAGTGTGCAATCCAATGAATGTGAATCTAACTGGGTTTTGATAGATAACATATCTCTCTTTCTTCTCTGAATTATTTTATTTATTGTGCACTCTAATCATATTAATCTAACTAATGTTCGTTTATACATTTTAAGAATGGCGTTTATCTTTTTTGAGAATGAGTTCTTATTTTATTTAATGTATTTGGGTCTACAACAGATGATACAAATGTTTGTGTCAGTAAATGTGTACTAACAGAGGCGGGGGGTGTTTGTGAAAATAACGGAGACCAGAGCTGCTGTCAGACGATCAGCTTGTGGCGGCGTCATCACAAACGGACGTCGCTTCACGTGACGCTCCGGAGGGAACGACGTCCCATTGCTCATAAAACTCATTTCCCTGCTTCTCGTGGTTTCCTTGCGTCTCTCCATGCTTCCTGGTGGGAGGGACTAGTCGCAGGGAAACGACGCAAGTGAGGGACGCAAGGAATCCATTTAACCGAAGTGAGATGCAGCTATTGATGGTTTCACCAAACCATCCAGGAAAGCTCCACTGGAAGCCATTTGGAAAAGGGCAGGCACTTTCAAAAATACTTGGCAGGTGATTGGATCAATCTGTCTATCACCTTCTATCATGGGCCACTTCTGATTGGTTAACAATGGCTGGTACATGTGGAGCACAGCACTTCTGATTGGTTAACAATGGCTGGTACATGTGGAGCACAGCACTTCTGATTGGTTAACAATGGCTGGTACATGTGGAGCACAGCACTTCTGATTGGTGTGGATGACTTTTTTGGGTTTACATTTTTTTTTAAATCGCAGGCTTTGCGATTTGATAATTGTATTTCAAATCGGCATACAAACATGAAGACAAACTTCCTCGCTTCAAAGTAACTCAAAGTTCTCTGTATCAAAATGGAACAAAAAGAACACGGTCAAAAGTCTATACTCACAAAAACAAATAAGAGTTTACTCTAAATCCTTATATTATCAAGCCAAACCATAATGATGAAAGGAAAAAGGCTCTAACAGTGTGTGTGTCTTTTAGGTATTCAATGAACTGCAGCAGTATGCAATGCATGCTGTCCCAGTAGCAACAACATTTCCTTATTTATCACGACACACACATCTGAATATCTTGAGCTCAGGTATTCAACAACAAATGGGGAAAAAGTGTGTGTTACTACAGCAGTTATCTCCTGAGTTAGAGAGGAAGGACAAGCCTGGACACATGACCTGCACCCTGAGGAGGAGGAGACAGACCAGACTCCCCTCACTGATGTCATATGTCTGACTGCAGGTTTCTACAGAGTGTGGCTCACCTGATGTCAGACACACACCTCGTTACAGAGCCTGTGCGTCAAAATCAATTCCTCTATGTGCAACACAAGGTTCATATAAAGGGCTGGACATGAATTTCTTCTTCTTCTTCTTCTTCTTCTTCTTCTTCTTCTTCTTCTTCTTCTTCTT